AAAACATTTGTTATCATTAGATTTATTTTTATTATTTTTCATTCTTTTTTCTTTTGTATTCATTCTATTTATATTAACCTTTTCTAGTTGTTTTGGTATTTTTAATTGCTCATTCTGTTTATTCTATATTTTGTTTTATTTTCCAGTGTTTTATTTATCATGTTTTCTTTTATTTGTGGTGCTTAAATTATTGTTTTTTCCTGTTTTTTCTTGTACTTTTTATTAATTTATTTTTAGTCGTTGTTTTATACTATTTATCTATATTTTAAATATATGCCTTTGTTTTGTTTTTCATGTTGTCTTTTTGCCCCGATGGCCGTCCATAGTGGTGGATATGAATATCCTGGACGTTGAAATAACTAATAGCATGTTGGCACCTTACCTACCGCCCCTCCGTCATCTTATACACATCCGACAAGGCCACTAGAATTTGCCTACCGACCCTAGGACGCTTCTCTTTGCTGGTCACTCAAGCAGACACAGACTAATACTATAATGAACAAATTATGAACCAAAGGTCTATCAAAGGTAAACCTAAAACAGGTTGATAATGTGCACCTGCGTTACGTGGTCTTTCTGTCTTTGTTCTATCCAGGTATGAGCCGACTCTTTCTTTTAGATGTAGTTTACAGAAGCCTTATTTCTGTTGAGAAGTTGGCTGAATTAGTCCAGTTTTATTTTTGTCTTCCCAAGTTATAAATTGAGTGATAATTGAATGAAATTAATTAATGAAATATTATTATTGACTGACATGATCGATTTTGTTTTACGATTGTAATATTGAATGTAATATTTTAAATAGCTTTTGCATAGATTGGAGATATTTTGTTTCGCAAATACGCTATTGGTTCATGGAAAGTACTTTAAGTCATGAACTCTACTTTGCACTACCAGGGTTTTAACGGCAAAGGTCCTTGAAGTTTAAGAAAATGTAAGTAACATTGACAATTCTCATTATAAAGAATTGACTAATTTCTTGTATGTCGATTGGGTATGTTTTAGTAAATTGTAGTGCTAGAATAATTAAATAATATAGCGAACGAAATTTTCACTTTGAGGCCACAAAAACTTTCCATTATGCCCAGTGCTTGTGAAGAGATAAGCTGAAGCATGGCATGGTCAATTGCAGTGGGAATAACATATTACGACATGCAATGGAAACGGAGGGTGAATTATATTGGGCTCATTAATATTTTTTATCGAATTTTAAAGACTGAGGAGGAGAAGACATGAAAAGATTTATTTTAAAGGATATTGTGGAAGCAAGCATCACGTGTAATTCGTTTTAGTTTGGTACTTTTGAGACACTTAACTAGCATAGTCTGGCTTGTAATTTTTTCCATTGCGTCGATTTTACGACAGTTACATGGTTGAGAAACCTTTTTCCTTTTCACAAAACAGACGAACGCCTTATTCAGTGACTTTTTTTCAATTTTCAATTTTCAAAGAGTTTCAAGTAATGAAATTCTTAATTACAACCTTTATTCATAAAAGTGAAGGAGTTTCCAATCAGGTGTTTCACCTTTGCCGTCAAATTTTGTGTATTCCTTTCGCTAAATTTTGCAATTGTTCACTGTTCCACCATGCACATCTTATGTGAAATATACAAAGTCCTTCTGTCATCTCTCTGAAGAATGTGGGCAAGATGTGTTTTATTGAGGTTGAACACCTATTCAGATTTTCTTGCCATTTCTTCTCAACTCTTCTTTAACTTGAGTTACCAAAAGCAAGATGATTAATTCAAGCACACTTCATACTTCATGCAAATTTAACGTCGTTTCGAAATTGTAATTGCTTTGCTTTCCAAAGAAATTCCCACGATTCATTTGTTTCAGGTTGTAAGGATTTTAGTTCAATATAATGATAATATAGGTATTTATTACTTACAAGGTACTTACAAGGTGCTTTTAACATTGATCAAATGCTGTACATCATTATTACCCCCTGTTTACCGGGCCCATGAAACGGTCCAAAACCACCTCAACTCTCTGGGGAGAGTACAGCCGGATGGTGACACTTTCGGTACAAAGCAGCTGAAACAGCCACAATAACTATCTCTGCCCTCACAGGTACCCAGTTACACGTAGATGGAGAGAGGCAATGATTGACAAAGTGCACACGCATTATGACCCTAGGCTGGATTCGAACCAGTGGAACAAGCAGGAAAGGTTGGTATTGATATACGGCTATAATCTGCCGCGTTTACAACCGATCTGGAACGTACATGCCTGTGCATGCTACTCACTGCAAGGTTGTCTAGCATATCAATAGATACTGGTAGTTCTTGTTAATAAAGTACAACATAATGCCTTGGCATCGCGTACAGGTCCGTTTGTGTTTTCAAATTACAGCCATCCTTTGATCTGCTTGGGCTCTCTCGAAGACGGTATGTACACAGATGGGCAATCATCGCTGTGATGACGCAGGTGGTGCAATTTATGTGCTTTATTTATTCGACCTAAACATGACAATATTATGAATATTAATAACGTGTTGGCGTTATGGTAATTAAAAGCAAAGCAAAAACAAACCCACAGAAAACCATACCCATCAACCCTTCCGCGACTTACACTTCTGACGATTCCGACAGACCAATCTCAAACGCTTTGCTTCACTGAGCATTAAGACTGATAGATTGGGGTGCGTGCTTCCCTTTAAAAGAAATCAACTATGTAGATGATGCAGGCATATTAATTGACCTAACGATTCATTTACATAAATAACTCATCGATAGAATTCCCCATCTAGCCCTACACGCTTCGCGATGCACACTCCAGCTAATAGATTCAGCATATGGCGTATGGTTGCTTTAATGTTGATGCATGCAGTACATTTTTATCGACATGATGAATCATGTACATAAATTAGCCAGTAATTGATTATTCATCGATTGGTATGAATAACCCGCAGTTTGTTCAAAAAGGTTGTACGCAAAGTTGAAGCCTCGCTCTTCATCAGCCAAACCTGTTTTTCTGCACAGGTTTATCCAACGTTAAGTCCGCTGCATCCACGAGTAAGATTACATTGTAGCAGACAGCTTTACAAGTATCAAAGTCCTTCTGTTTCCTACGGCTAAGCACTATGTACGCACTTACGCTTGTCTAAGGTAGAAACTTGTGCTTGTCCAAAAAGATGCTCAATTTTTATTCCAAATAAATCGGTGAAAGATAACGCGAGGCGCGTTGGTAAAACGTTTCTTCCAGCTTTAGAACAAAACAAAAACCAAATTAGTACAGGCAAATTCAATTATTTTCCCTTTTCTGTTTTAAACAATGTGGACGTGGGGGTTCTTGGAAACATTCATTTCAGTGTAGTTGTTTTGAGGTTCAAAGGACTTCCAGACAGGCTTTGTAATTGTGTTCCAAAAGCAAATCGTGTTCAGAAAAAAAAGAATCAAATATGGAGTTACACATTGACGTTAATGAATTTAAAAAGGGGCAAGTATTTCAAGTTTTGAATTGCAAAACTCTATTCCTAATGGTGAAAGAATTATCAACGGACTATTTCAATTCTGCTTCTTACACTTCAAAAATTGACTCCCGCCAAAGTCGTCTCACCAAATAAAGGAGTCGATTTAATTACATAAATAATCTCGCGAAGTCGACGGACGTAGGGAATTCCGAAAGTAGACTTGATGTCATGAAATATCTCCCAAGTCGACTAACTATAATTTGGAAGTCGACTTGACTACATCATTTATGTCGTTAAATCGACTAAATACACTTTATGAGTCGACTTAATGAAGAAAAATTATCTCGGTATCTGAACAAGTCGGATGGCACTACCAGAGCTCCGTAAATTAGACGGCGCAAAGAAAGAAATTCAGTGTAAAAATTTCCTATGTATCGAAAACATTTTTATCGTTAGATTTGTCTTTTGTTTTAATAACTATTTTTTCCTTTTGTTTTTTTCTTTATGTTGATATTTTCTAGTTGCTTTTGCAATTTTTATTTTTATTAATGTAGGCCCTACCCATAGAAAAACAAAATAAGTGGAATGCAGAATGAATGCATAATGTTCCAATAGTGTGTTATCAGCACACTTTTTCATTGTTTGATGTTGTATGTTTCATGGTTTTTTTTTGCTCATTTTCTTTATTCTATATTTTTTATTTATTTTTTCAATTCTTTCATCTTTTATTTGTGATGCATAATCTATATGTGTTTCCCAGTTTTGTTTTATGTTTTTATTTATTAATTTTTATTCTATGTTTTATACTGGTTTATGTATTAAATATATCATTTTGTTTTATTTTTCATGTTGCCTTTTTTGCCCCGATGGCCGCCCATATTGGTGGATTACTAAAGCATTGTTAAAGGGAAAGCAGTTGACATTACTGCTCCCGACATGTGGGTCAGCTTGACGACCTCCTGACGCATTCAAGTTGAAGCATGTGCTGCTCATTCGTATAATCCTAGACGTTGGAATAACCAATAGCGTGTTGGAAACTTTTCACCCACCGGCCCTTCAGCATTTTATACACATTCGACTAAACCATGCAGACAATTTGACTGTTGAGTTGCTGCACACAAGTTGAATAATGTTTCTGTATTTAGTGAGCAATTAATGCTTAGACAACTGAGTGCTTCACTTTCTTCCATCTTAGAAGTGTCGCCAGAGTGACACATGGCCGTCTGTCGATCACACATCAAGGCCTTGACTCTAGGAGTCTCTGAGGTTTGTGGCTTGTGTGAGATTTAAGTATGTAGAAAGAGAAATATATATGTTTGTCAAGTAAAGATCGAAGCGTTCGGAGAAAAATGTTACATTGGTCATTGACGTTATAGTGCTATACATTGCTTAGCCCATTGATAACTACTTATCCATCTACCGAATGATTGTACAGTTGTATGGTACTGCCAGGCATAGTATTGTTCAGTACCAGTCTTCTTGTACCTTGTCTGGTCGAAGGCGTATACTCCCTGGGTGGTGCTGTTTGGACTTGGCAAACATAATACGAGCGATTCACAATTCGGTGCGCCACCAAGAGGGCAACAGGGAAAAGGCCAAATTCTCATGTTTCGGTCGACAGCTTTTCAACATGGCGACCGTTGTTGCCAGTGGCGGCTTTCGTGTTGTTGACTTTAAGAGACTAGGCGCCATAGAATTACATAACTTTCTGATTGAAAGAGGAATTCCATGCGCTGGAAGGAGAGGGGACCTGGTAAAATTGGCAGAGTAAGTTGGAGACAAATATCCGGTCCTTTAAGAGTGTGACCATGACGAATCAGAGCGAAAATGACGAAGAGTTGTAGGTGAGAATTGGGAGATCACAGACTTGAATGGTCTTCAAATTTTGTATTAAGCTGACTTCAGTAACACTCCCCACGTCAGCTTGGGTGATGTTTTTGCCTCCCTGGTGAAACAGTGTGAGTGGAATCCTGAGCGGCTCACCAGCTACAGGGTAGCCCCACTAGTGTGGTACGGACTCTCACTCCCAATCCATTTGGAGTGAGAGTCCGTACCACACTAGTGGGGCTAGCTATCGGCAGGATGATATCTTTCTGAGGTTGAAAGACAGACATGTCGAGGATGTCTTACTTGGTAAAATTCAAGGCCACTCCACTCATGTTTACATCCAGGCATCGGTGAAGCCAGAGTAGAGACAAACAGGGCAGCGATACAAGACCTGGCTACCATGGCTACTGCTGTCAACTTCAGCCAGCATAAAGTCAGCAGGATGTCATTGAGTTGCTGCGTAAGTCTTAGTATTTTTCTTCAAAAAGTGTAACATAATATTAATTAATAATAGCTTAAACCTAGTGTTTGCACATTTTATTTGTAAATTGTAGCCTGTTTAGGGGCCCATGGTGATTTCAAGCCCGATAAGCAGAGGCCGTTCTTTGCCACTAAAGCAGGCTTACTCAAACCTATTCTTTTGATACCAATGGATACAAAACCCATGTCCTAGGCTGTCTGGCCATATTAGCACATAAACTCTTTGAACTGCATTTAGGAATTGAAGTTGTAAGCTAGGCTTGTTTAGACTGTTTTTGTTATCACTGTTTCACCTGAAATTTCACAAGGTATGAAATGTCTTCTCATCTTTTTAAATCCCAAGAAACCTATTGGTACTTGTTTTGAGCATTGTACATTTCCAACTCTAATCTTCCTGAATGTTTGCTTTGTACTGGATGAGGATTGGAATTTTTTCAGGAAGTTGTTAACCAAAAATTTAAGTGTGAGACAAGCAGTTCCACAAGCGGTATATTGCTTTGCAGCATTTCCTGAATTTGAATGGCTTGAGTATGTTGACCATACACGTATATTTGTAAATGACCTCTCCGTAGCAAATTTTTGGCGATGCAGTACTGTATATCATTGCCTGTGATTCTGAACACGGAAAATTGTTACCTTCAAGTGCTCTGTTTTTATTTCTTGCAGTGATGATGGTACCTGCAAGCATGCAATTGCTGTACTTTTTGCGTTGTCGGACTACATCGAAAGAAGCAGTGACAAGGGGACAGCTGTTGGCACAGATGAGCCTTGCTCATGGACGAAACCTCAAAGAGCCTCCAGGCCAGTGAGAGTAGAGGAGCTGGACTTCTGTGCAGAAAAACAGACTCTCCTGTATCCAGTGCATGGATTGAGAACATTCAGAGGCACTTGAAAAAGGTGAGTCATGGTTGATGCAGATCATTATTGAACTCAACAGGACTTCCCAAATCCCCTGATTTCTATGTATGATTTTGCCTACACCCTAGGGGGTTTCACCTCAGAGACATACCTGCTACATTGCTTGGTCAGAAGTCTTGATGGTTTAGTGATATTCAGTTTGTCAGCCACAGTTTTGTCCTTGCCTTGCCGGTAATTTAACTTTCTCTGTACCTTCAAATCTTGTAGACGAAACAGGGGTGGGGGTAACATTGGCAAAGTTACAATGTATGTTTTGGACTAGTTTTTATAGGCTTCGTACGCACAGTGTACATGTAGCCTGCTGTGAATATTTGTGTTTTGGGGTTTCTGCTCTGATTCCTGGCATTTTGCCAAGTTGTACGATTTAGGCGTATGTTTTATGGTTTGTCTTGCCCGTTTCCAACTGTATGATCCAGACTAAGATTTTTATGATTTCCAACTTTATTCTAAGGTACAAAACCATACAGTTGTAATTTAAACTCTACGTAAGCTACTCTGACATGTAGCACGGAGCCAGCCTCGTAATGCACGCGTAGGAAATGTGTCGCTGGCATCCCGCAGCTGGTGCATACAAGCTGCATGAATAGCAGTATAAACGAGCATGGTTGAATCAAGCGTTCACCCCGTGTAACGCTATGATGAACAGGGGCGAATAGGCATGATAGCAGATCGCAAGGTAATTGTGTAACGTACATGTACATGTACGTTCATACATGTACACTACATTGTACGTGGCAAAAGTGAGCAGAAGTTCAGAGACGAATACACCACAAAAATGGGCCTTTAAAGGCTTTATTGCAAAGTCTTGTCATGCTTGTTGTGGAGAAGCTTACGTCATTACGTGTTTCGCAACGCATGGAGGCCTACATGTAACTCACATGATAAACATTGTCTGCTGGTCAGGTTATAGGGTCGTCATGAGAGTCAGTGATTCAGTGTTGTTACCAACTTAATTCACAAGAACGACCAAGAAGGTTGCCATAGAATCGTAAGCTAACTGTTGACTGAATTGGAGAAATGAAAAGCAGACTATTATACTAATACTGAATACTGAGGAGCTGTGCAATGATGCAGGACTTATACACGGTTAAAAACGGGATGTAGTTAAAGTCACAAAACTTAAGATAGGAAAGTCTTAGTCACATGTCTTAGCTGGATTCTTAGAACAACGACTGTGAATGAATAACTTCATCTTAAAATGAAGTCCTGGATGGATGATGGCAAGGTTCTGCCCAGGATTTTTCAAAACTGTGGGGGATTTCCATTGTGAGTTACCAACATTTTGCGAAGCCATGGCGTGGGGTTCGGACCCTGCCCAAGGGCCCCAAAAATTTTTGGACTTTATAGATGCTCTCAGCTGCATTTTAGAGCATTTCCTGGGTTTTTCAAGTACCTTTTCTAGGGAAAAAACATAACAAATTCAATTTTTTTTTTTAAATTTTGGATATTAGTTTTTAACAAATGATCAGTTTTCCATTTCTGGACTACTAATTAGGCCTGTAGGCACAAAAGGACCCATTTCAGGTTTCAGGCATGCAACAACATGTAGTGGCTGTTTAATCAACAATATAAACACCTGTTTATTCAGTTTCAACTTTAATACATCCTTCAACCTTTCCATTTGCTGATCAGACCTGAAACCGTGAGCTCCATTCAGTTGTAAGGCAAAAATATTAGCTTAACAGAAACAAATGTCATAAAAATATAAAACGATTTGGTCTTTATATAAAATAAACAACAAGGCATTTCTTGTATATATGCAAGAAAGAATACCCGCTGCAGGTGGCTGCTTCGTTTGGGTTTCCCTCAGCGCTGACTGCTGAAGTCATTGGCTTAAAAAAGAGCCAATTTTTGATTGAGTTTCTGCCATTGTGCGCGAGACAAAACGCGGTGATATGGTAACGAGAAATGTCGTCCCCATCATAGATGCCATTAATACTCTTACACAGGGCTACGGCTACTGCCATGAAACAAGAACGTCTGTGGGATCGATGTTGTAAGTTCTGCGAATGGTGCAGTATAAAATTGTACCCTTCGTAAATGCAGCCCCAACAGCGTATTGAGCACACAGCGCAGAGAAAAAACACCTGCGCACGGGGGCAAGTACAACACCCGTGACGGAAGTTCAGATTTCATGCAACACCAGCCATGAGGAACGTTCGGTGCCGATATACATGTATGTACGGTGTGCAGGAAAGTGTGGCCGCCGACGCTTGGTGCACAATGCATGTACAGTACATGGAAAAATGCAGAACTAAACTGTTTTTTCATCTAGATTTTCCAGACATGCAATCTGCATTATGTAAGATAATTCTGAGCCATACTCTCATAATTACATTATGCATATCGGGGATGAAAAAATGGGTATTGGCAGAAATAATTGCGTATCAGGCCCGATACCCAAGTTTGTACGTGAGGAGAACCCTGGATAGTACAAGCTGAAATGAAGCATGCTGAAGTGTGCCTAGCCTCCGGGCTAACAAGGTCAAATAGGCGGAAACAACATACACTGTACAAGACACTGTGTGGGTGTACTCTTGCAAGGAAAATGCAGTGAGTAATGTGTCTAAGAAATGGCAAACAGGATATATACAGGAAATGAAAAAGTTGTCAAAGTTAAAAATGAAGATTCTGAATGCTAAATTCACTAAAAGAAATAAATGCAAGTAATTGTGCAGAAAATGCTACAGGAGCCCCCCTTCCAGTGAGTTTGCAAAAGCTAACTAATGAATGTGACAAAGCATTTTGGCCAGTGGACATGGCGACCAGAACGAGTTATGCGAGGAGTATTGACGGGAGAGTGATGTGGTTGGTTCACTGGAAGAGAATCCTGAGAAGTTGGAATAGGTGCAATTGTAGGAGTGTCTAAGTGAGCACTTTTAAGTCTATCTATGCTGATAGCGTCTTTGCGATTGTTAAGATCAATTACAAAGTGCTTCTTGGAACGACTTAGAACTTTGTGCGGTCCATCATATGGGGGTTGTAAGGGCTTACAAATATAATCGCGTCTAACAAAAACGTGGGTACATGATTATAAATCATCTGGAACGTTTATGCTAGTCCGTTGCTGTGTCCGAGTTGTTGGTGGTTTGTTTGAGGCGGTGGACGTAATTGGCAGGGTCCAACTCAGCAGTGTTTGGTGAACTATTAAAGAAATCTCCAGGCAAGCGAAAAGTTGTACCATAGACCAGTTCAGCAGCACAGTGTGGAAAATCAGATTTAACTGTTATGCAGATCCCAAGAAGAACAAACGTTCATGTTTCTATCCAGTTGTTGGGATTTGTCTGAGCTTTCAGGGAAGTCTTAAGCTGACGATGGAATCGCTCGATTAGTCCATTGGCAATTGGGTGGTATGCCGTGGTACGAATGCCTTTAGTTCCAAGCATTCTGGTGAGAGCGGAGAACAGAGCGGATTCGAACTGTGTACCACGGTCGGTTGTGATGGTGGATGGAACACCAAATGCAGCAACCCAGATGGATATGAATGCGCGGGCTACTGTTTCGGCTGTGATGTCATGTAGGGGGATGGCTTCTGGCCATCGGGTGAAACGATCAATGCAAGCGAGGATGTAAGTGCATCCATGAGAGGGTGGCAATGGGCCAACTATGTCAATGTGTACATGATCAAATCGTGCATTTGGGCCTGTGAACTGTGATAGTGGTGCAGAGGTACATGTATGACGGTGAATGTTTGCGCGTTGACACTGAATACACGATTTTGTCCAATTGCGCACATCACGGTTGATGCTGGGCCACACAAAACGGTCCGTGACAAGTCGTTGGGTGGCACGAATGCCAGGGTGTGACAAGGAGTGAAACGAGTCAAATACGGCACGTCGTAAATCTTTGGAAACGAATGGTCATGGATTTCCCATTGCAGAGGAACATCTTTGAGAGAGAGTGAAGTTGCAGAGTGGTGAAGTTGTTGTAGTTCGTCACACTGTCGTTGCAATTGTGCCATCTGGCTGAAGTCGATAGGTGTGCTGGACTGCTCTGGGTGGAGGGAGTTGAGTTGCACACGTCACAGGGCATCGGCAGCGGGGTTTTCACCACCTTTAACATATCTTATGTCACAAGTGAATTGTGAAACAAAATCAAGGTGGTGAATCTCGCGTGGCAAGTGCTTGTCAGTGCAGCGAAGACATAGGTGAACGGTTTGTGGTCTGTATACACATGGAATCCTCAGCCCTCAAGAAAATGGCAGAAGTGGAGAATGGCAAGGTACACGGCTAACAGTTCTCGTCCAAAGGTGCTGTAGCATGTTTCTGCTGGCTGAAGCTTTTTGGAGAAGAATGAGATAGGTTGCCATGAATCATCGACCCACTGTTGGAGAACAGCTCACACTGCCACATCTGAAGCATGCGTCATGATGCTCAATGGAGCGCCTGGCTTTGGATGTGTCAGGAGAGTAGCGTTGGCGAGTGCGGCTTTGATCTGATGAAAAGAGGCCATAGCAGCATCATTCCATGTGATTGGGGCCGACTTTTTGCCTGAGTTAGTCAGCAGTGCAGTGAGAGGATGAAGGACTTGAGAACTCTGTGGTATGAAGCGGCAATAGAAATTGACTAATCCAAGAAATTCTCTCAGCTTGGTCAGCGTAGCAGGTTTAGGAAAGTTCAAGATAGCACTGACCTTCTCATTGAGTGGGCGCACCCCATGGCTGTCAACTTGATGACCAAGAAACTCGAGAGAGTTCACTCCAAATTGACTTTTGGCAGGGTTGCTGTACTGGTTGAGGCGATCAAACAGTAGGCAAAGATGGTGTTCGTGCTGGTCTGTGTCGGAGCTGGCAACCAGCAGGTCGTCAATGTATGCGTAGCAGAAATCCAGTCCACGAATAACTTCATCAATGAAGCGC